GAAAAACTCAAGAAAAGTCCCCACACTTCGATAGTCGAAATAATTGCTCTTCAGAACTTCAAACTGTATATAATTCACTCATAACCCACAAGTTCCGTGTACATTTATGTATGTATGTACACTTCAATTAAAAGTGATGTTGTTGTTGTTTCGATTTTTTTTTTTTTATTATTGAACTTGCGCTTGACATTGCCACAAGATACTTTCGGTCGAAACTATGTCAACAGAGTATCAACTGTGATAGCAAACCGCAGCTATGCCAAAGAGATAAGCAACAACAGCAGCAGCGGGCGTCAACAGTAGCGGCAAAAAGTGTGGTATTAACACAGAACTGAATTCCTTAGCATCTCTGACCGCTGTAACCGCAATTAAAAAAAAAATCTTATCAAAATACTGGCAATATGTTGTTACATTTTATTGCTGTTGTTTTTGCCACACATTCTATTACCGGTTTCAATGCCATTTGTTTACTTAATTTTAATGACTAACGTACTCGGGAAGGAAACGGTAGGAAAAATATCCTAAATATCCCGTTTAAACGGAGTGCTTACCCCTGAAGCAGAGGACATCTCGATATTGCTATTTGTTGTCTTAGACCCGCCCCTCTGAGAAGATTCGTAAATGCAATAAAAAATCTGTCTTCTAAGCAACATTCCTAATAAATTTTTCAATATGAACAATTTACACACATTAGCACATTTTATTTCTATTGGAACAGTAACCGCGAACAATTTTTTCGACAATAGCGCCATCTAGCGTGTCAAGTAATATTAGTTTTATTCGTGGAAAAGATTTTGTTTTATTCTTTTTCTTTCCACGGTACTTTTACGGACGAACCAAGATACTTGGAGTTACTTTGCGGTTGCATGAAACATGTTGCATACACACAAACGCTACAAAAACACAAACGTACTCACTTGCAGAAAAAGCTTTAAGGATCAGGAGTAATGCAGCTGTGGCAATCATATTTTGCATGTTGACACTCATAAGTGTACCGTAAAGTATTCGTATGTGGCATGCCGCATGCGTACATTTTGTGCGGTTGCAATCACGAATAACAAGCACTGCAAAGCAACACCAATGTAATTGAATAATGTAGCTTTAACAACAATATCTAACCGGATCGTTTACTATGCAAAAACGAGATAAACACGAATCACTTTAAATATGTATTACCCTAGTAATGGAGACTTTGTTTGATTTACAACTTAATTTTCTCCAATTTATTTTATTAATAACTTTTAGAATGAATTTTCATTAAAAAGTCAATGGAACAGCAAACGTTTACTTAGTTAGCAGCACTTAATATTCTCCTTAAGGTATTGAGCAAACTATAAAATCAAACAAAATTTCCTTACGGCGACTGCCACTGGCTCGGTCACATTCTTAGTAATCATGTCTCCACAAAGTTACAATATGGGAGAGATAACTAATAACATCTCAGAGTATGGGAAGGGGTTTATGACCCCACATACTCTATTGGCTCTACATAAGTGTCATCCGAAAATAGTCGCATTAAATCCCCGTAACTGCACATACAAGTGCAGTAAAATAAAACCTTATTAATGAACTCAACAATGCAACTGTGAGAATGTAAGAAAAGGAGGAGGAGGAGGAATTAAACACATCGTTTTCATTCGCCAGTAGCGCACCAATGGTTCTCTGATCGACAGTTCGAAATTTACATATTCACCGACGGATCAAATAGTAAAAAGGATAGGAGCAGCCTTTTCCTCTAGTAATCCATATTCAGAAGGTGCCTTCAAACTAAGCGGCAAACAACAGAGCACCTCACAAAAAAGGAATCGCTCTATCATAGAAATACAAGAAACTCTGCCCAAAAAACCTAGGCGGTGTGAAGGTGAACAGAGCAGCACAACAACGGCAAGGCATTTCTGCGATGTAGCCAGGGATAGCCTGTAAGTGGACATCATAGATGGAATTCCTTCCGCCTTCTCCGTAGAGCTGCCAAAATCAGCAACGCCTTTGAAGGCCTCCAATTGAGGCTTATACCCGCCAGGGGCATTCCGAAGAGACCTCGTGCTCGCATTTGCCTACCCCCTCTAGAGCAACCAGGCAAAAAACTCCTAAGGTGCATCAAATTGCAAAAGAAATTTATACCTGGTATAGATGAGTGGCAGCTGATCAAGGAGGAAAAATATCAACGATCAACGAACGGAAAGAGAAAGATAATGTTTTTAAACTTCAATCTGATCTGAAGATTTCAGCAGATGATTAGAACTGAAGTTGAAGTAAAGATGATGTATTAGAAGTTTCTAGTCGCCACTGCAGACCTAAACTTCATTTTCACCGAAAAAAGTGAGCTTGACCCCACCCCCAAATAGGCTTAAGATTTACATGTCGGTATTAACTATTATAGCTAATTGAATCAAATTGGCTCAGAAAAATGTGAAAATGAGCGAAATCTTATGAAAAATACGCCCGCTCCCTATATAACAGTTATATTGAAAACTTTTGAAAGTGCGATAATTCAGTAAATAAAAACTTTAGTTTACATTAAATTTAGGACTTGAGATCCCACGAAAGAGTTGCATAGAAATTGGACTTTTACATGAAATTTCATATTTCTGGCACGATTTTATCCTAAGGTTTCCTAAATGTGGACCTTGTACGTTTTCAAATTATCGTTTTACAATAGTACTTTTGATTAATGAGAAGTGGCCGTTATATCTACGACCCTCAAGTATGGCGCGGCCTTTCTCTTAGTACAAAATCCACACGACTGCATTCATGATAAGCAAAATAAGACGAAGGATATTTTGTGGATAAAGGAAAATAAGTCACGACTCCATGCCATATACATGCACATACCATATTTTCACAGAATTCAATTAATATAATATAGTTTTTTGATACTTGACACATGTAATGAACTGCGAAAACTAATGACGGCAATTAATTCTTTGTAAGTAAAAGAAAACATCAAATCATGCTAACGTTTTAGAAGTACCGTGAGCAAATAAATTAAGGTAAATACTCATTGTTGATCAATAGGTGTAATCTCACAAAGCTAAAAACTAAGGAGCAGCTGTTAAGCTTAGCACTACTTTTTTAAGTATTAATAATTAATTTTTTAATAATTAATAGCCTGGAAATATTTCCTACTTTTTATTCGAGATATCCATTATAAAATCGATCTATAGCAGTGGTGGATTTTCGGGTTTGAAATTAACAAGACCCAAGAATAATTTACTTCTTACTCTGCAAGATAATAATTGTATTATTATTTTTCGTTTAATAAATAAATAAATAAGATTTATTTAAGTAATAGAATGGAATACAGTAGCCTTAATTGAAACAGTTGAATCTACGGACATTAAAGATTTATTTGATCATACAGATATATCTAACTACTCCAATGATCTTTCTTAAATTAATCTATCCTAATCTTTTAACATATCTAAATATTATTTAGAGTATGTCAGTTATAGGGTGTTGAAAATAGGTTTGCCCTCGCGACGAAGGTCGTGTGGATCCCACTTTTAGCATTGAGATGTCGCTGAATTTCTAGATGTGGGATGCAAAAGAATCGACAACTCTCTTTGAGGCTATCTCTTGAGGTGACTAATAATAGTTTCAGTCAATTTTTTCGGTTTCCCAAAGCTTTAGCATCCCAGATATTTCACTCTCAATATACCGAAAGTTGGACAGTCGGAAATACTATGCAGATTTTTCCACATCGACTTAATCCACGCAACTATAGCAATTGGTTCCGTTCAAGAACGGTACGGTAACCCGTCATTCATTAAGAAATAGAACAGCTCTTAGAATATAGAGCAAGGAACTTTTAAAAAACTTTGTTCAGAATATTACGCGGTATGAATATAAGCTCGACCAGGCTAAATTTTTGAGATCATTAAATGCCAAATCCCAGAGTAAAGTATCTTAACGAGTTTTAAGTATTCCAGAGGGCAGTCGACCCTTTTTAAATGACCTTTCCCATAATTGATTGCAAGGGTAATTAACTTCACTAATAGACACACCTAGACAGCAGCGACATAAAGGGACAAAATGTCGAATCATGTACTTGTTTTATTAATTGCCGCCAAACAAATGAATTAACTGTATAAATAAACGATTTAAAAACCTTATCAAGCATTTATATGTTTTTGGTTTCTAAAGTTTTAACAAAAGTAACAATGCGCTGTTATAGTTGAAAGCACCATCGCTTCAGGATGTCGTATCGACTGATAGGAGAAATTTGTTTTATTAGCTCGTGTTTTTTAGGTGTGACGAATGCAGAATTTCAAAATAGTTTTGAACACTTTCCGGTTTTACAATCTGATATCGCGAATTTCTCGAACGGCATCAAGGTACTCATTGAGCGCATACGAACGGAGAACATATTCATTGGTTACTTTCTACAAAGAAAACATCCAGCCGATTGTGTGGACAAAGATTTGCCAGTCCTCTTTGCACTACCCCTTCTACAGCTAAACGAGAGCAACAATGTGTATGTTCGAAGTACTGGCAATAGCGACTTAATGGCAATATTATGCATCAGACAACTCATCGACAAGGATTTTCTGCTGAAATTCGCTAAAAATTTGCAACACATACGTACCAGGCGCATATTGGTTATACACAATACCAAACTAGAGGCGAGTACTCAATCGGAAATCGAGAGGTTTTTAAATTACTGTATGCAATTAAAATTTCTAAATGTCATACTCGTACATAGCGATTTCACTGAGACAAACATCTTTCATTCGCTAAATCAATTCCCGCATTTCAAGTTAGAAACTCGTGATCTTCGCACTAAATCGCCAATTTATCCCAATCGCTTGGCAAATGTTGCCAAGAAGAAGTTAAGTGTATTGGCCGATCAAATAGAGCCGATAACGATGTTATACGAAATCGGCGATTCCCTCATCTTAGAAGGCTACATCGGATATTTCATGAAAGCTTTCGCATTGAAATATAATTTTCGTCTGTGGCTACCTACAATGTATGAAGGGACTATTGTGCGAATTATTTCTATGGAAGAGATACGTCAGGCAGCACACAACGGTTCAATCGATGTGGGCGCGAGCTTATCAACACCGCAAAAGGAATCAAACGTACATGAGTACATCTATCCGATTGAGTTTTTTCAATGGTTAACAATGCTGCCGATGGAACCACAACTGGAAATATATTATTTTTTCAGCTCCATCTTTTGTCCAGCATCTTTAACTTGTATATTTTTATTCTCTTATTGGGTATGCGTTCTTTATCGTTTGCAGTTGAATTTGCGACGTAAAACTTTATATTGGAATCGTGCTTCGTTAGTGTTATTTTTAATACCATGGAATCTGGACTTACTGCGTGGACTACTAAATCAATCTACGGCCATACGCTTGAATTCCGCTACTCGACGCATAATTTTCATGCTAGTTTTTGCGCAAGGTGGTGCTTTGAATATTCTTTTCTCTATAACAATGGCGAACTGGTTAACTATGCCGCCACACAAAACGCCAATTGAAAGTTTTGACGATGTTGCTGAGCGCAATCTACAAATACAAGTTCCAGAGCCTGATATCGCTGAGATTAAATTCTATTGTGGTGAAATCTTTTGGAATCAACATAAACGACTGTTCCATATAGTGAAATCAGTTGATGAGTTCCAGGAAAATATACGCAAGATGGACAAACGTTACGGTTATTTGATAAACACTTTGAATTGGCCGATAATCGAGCAACGTCAAAAATATTTTAAGCATCCCTTATTTCGTCTATCGGAAAGTCTTTATTACACCAAGGGTTCCTTACTCAGCCTGCCCATAAGTGAAAACTCCATGTACAAGGATCTGTTAAGTCTTTTCAGCTTGCGTTCACGTGAAGCGGGTTTGTTGGATTATTGGTATAAAAGAACTTTCTACACGATGGTCTCCATTGGACGTTTCAATCTTACAGATCTCAGTAAGAATTATAAACATGAAGTGCTGACTTTGAAGGAGTTCGAATGGGTTTGGATCACCTATAGTATTGGAATAGGCGTGAGCATTTTGGCTTTTACTTTCGAATGGATTTGCTACAAGCATGCGTGTGTACATTTTAGAACACTCCTAATGTGAAACCAACATATATTTCTGAAATAATACACGTTTTATTCTTAATTCTAATGCTAAAATAAATATTTGACAATACTCTCAGTTTTTGAGTACAATTTCATTTTACTATGTGGGCAAAGTTGAAATTTCGTATCAAAATCAGTGCCGAGATCAAAAGATAAAAGGAAACGAAGGATAGCAGAAAATAGTTGACATAGTTACTGTGACGCTGTGGCTATATTTCTTTTAATTTACACCTTCGACGTGTAGATATTTAAGGACCCATTTTCCATTTCTAGGTTCTGACTTTGCTGCATCTATTCCAAATCATTAAAAGGAGTTGGTATTCAAGGAGCTGTTTTAAGCTGAATGGCAGTGAACGCACAACGCCAGAAGAAGGCGAACCCGATTCTCCAATCGATGACGATGGAGCAGACGTTCCACTGCCCGACCATGAAGAAGTTCGAATAGCAATTACCCGCCTGATGAATAACAAAGCGGCGAGGACCGATGGATTGCTGGCATGCATGCCCGACGAAAGCATGCCCAACGATTGGAATTTAAGCCCAATCCACAAAAATGGAGACCCCACAATCTGCGCCAACTACCGTGTGATAAGCCTCCTCTAAATCGCATACAGGGTGGCTGATGAATTTTGCTTCATTAAGAAACTCAAATAATTTTTTTTTTTCAGTGTATGGAATTCATTTTTCTTTTATTCATGTTAAAGCTCATTCAATTTTATTAAATATATCTTAATTAGTTTTAAAAGTAATGGAATTTAAATGCCCTCCCTGCTCGTTGATGCATGTGCGGCATCTTACCAAAAAGTTGTTCATTACTGCTTGGAGAGTTGAGACAGGAATAGCCTCAATTGTTTCTCGAATGGATTGCCTTAGTTCATTCAAATTTGTTGGTGTTGCTTTGTAGACGTCCTGTTTGCAATAATCCCACAAGAAAAAGTCAGGTGCAGTAGGGTCAGGCGACCTGGGTGGCCAACGGAAAGTGGAGTTTCTGGATATCAGCTTATTGGAAAATTTTCCTCCCAATTCTGTCATAACAGGTTGGGCTATGTGAGAAGCTGCACCATCTTGCTCAAACCACACAGAGTTGAAAGAAATTCTCATTCGGCGTACTTCTGGATAGAAAAACTCTTTCTACATGCTCAAGTAACGGTATCCAGTAACCGTAACGGTGTGACCGTTTTCTTCGAAGAAGTAGGGCCCGACAATGCAGCGTGATGAAAATGCACACCACACTGTGACGCGAAGTGGATGCAATTCCGTCTCATGGACTATCTGTGGGTTGGAAGCACTCCATATTCGACAATTTTGTTTGTTTATGTTGCCGTTTAAATCAAAATGGGCCTCGTCAGACATGAAAAGACAGTTCAACATGTTTCCATCCTCTTCCACCATTTGAAGCATCTTCTGGCAAAATTCCAAGCGCATCGGCAAGTCCGCAGCGTTTAGTTTATTGGGCACTTGAATTTTATATGGGAATAAGTCCAAATCTTTGTGCATAATTGACTGTAATGACTATGTGCTTACGCCCATTTGAGCAGATAAGCTTCTTGTCGAAACACGTGGATTGTTTTGTATGGCAGCAGCTACAGCAGCGCTTGTTTCCTTCTTTCGAACTGAAGGGTTTCGATGGTAAGGTCTTCTTTTGACTGTCCCATGTCCGGCAAAATTGTTTACAAGTCTCATTCTGGTCCATCTGCTCGAAGGAAGCCAAACGTGCGCCTATACTCTCTTTGAACTGAAACTACGGACTCCAGTGCGTGATAGCAGCGGACAATCCAAATTCTTATTTTAGTGTCCCAGTTATCCATTTTTGTTAAATGTAAAAGTCAATCTGCAAAATAAAAATAAAATTAACCAGATTCATTAATTAGAAAAAAAGTTATTTAATTTTTTTTTGGTAGCGCTTTCATCAGCCACACTGATAAGGTTCAATCAGTTTGTTGACGGTGGGCTTTAATCTTTCACACAATACGCTCCATAGAACCTTATACCCTTCAGACCTGGAAAATCAACAACCGACCAGATATTCACCATGAGCCAAAGTTGCCTTTATGCCCCGATGTCTGAATTTGTTATCCCGCAAACTAATACGGCTGTGTAAACCGACGTTGAGCAACACTAAAAGCTCCGTCAGAATCGGGAAGGACCGCTCCGAGTCTTTCGATACAAGACTAGCTTTCAGACAAGACGACTCTCTATCGTGCGACTTCTTCAACCTGCTTCTGGAGAAAATAATTCGAGCTGCAGAACTAAATAGAGATGGTACCATCATCTATAAGAGTGTACAGCTACTGTCGTATGCCGATGATATTGATATCATTGGCCTCAACACCTGCGCCGTTAGTTCTGCTTTCTCCAGACTGGAAGCAAAACAAATGGGCCTGGCAGTGAACGAGCTCAAGACGAAATAACGAAATATCTCCTGTCATCAAACAAACAGTCGTCGCATTCGCGACTTGGCTCTCGCGTCACTGTTGACAGTCCTAACTATGAAGTCGTAGGTAATTTCGTTTATCTTGGAACCTGGAAATCCAACGCAGGATAACTCTTGCCAACAGGTGCTACTTCAGACTGAGTAGGCAATTGCGAAACAAACTCCTCTCTCGACGAACAAAAACCAAACCAAAGTCCCTCATAATTTCCGTTCTGCTATATGGTGCAGAGGCTTGGACGATGACAACAACTGATGAGTCGACGTTGCGAGTTTTCGAGAGAAAAGTTCTGCGAAATATTTATGGTCCGTTGCGCGTTGGCCACGACGAATATCGGATTCGATGGAACGATGAGCTGTATGAGACGTCATATATCATTGACATAGTACAGCGAATTAAAAGACAGCGGCTACTCTGGCTAGTCATGTTGTCCGAATGGACGAAAACACTCCAGTGCTGACGCTGTACCCGTCGGGGGAAGCAGAGGAAGAGGAAGACCTCCACTCCGTTGGAAGGACCAAGTGGAGAAGGACCTGGCTACGCTTGGAATATCCAATTGGCGCCACGTAGTGATACGAAGAAACGACGGGCGCGCTGTTGTTAACACGGCTATAATCGCGTAAACGTTGTCTACGCCAATTAAGAAGAAGTAGAAGTACCTCTATTTCAGATATAATATTTATGGGAAAAGACATCTCCGAGCCATATGTCAATCACCCAAAAATAGGTTCGAGTAGATAGGATAGAGAATTGTTGAGAATTGAGAAAAATTCGATAGCGGTGCTTCAACACACTTCTATGATCAGATGAGCCGAAATCAACAAAAGTTATTCCCGTACGAAGCACTTCCAAGAAAATGGCTACCTATTTCTTTCAAAAGGCTGGACTTGTCGCAACCATACCACGGGAACAGTGAATTCTGAGTGCATCAAAAACATTCAGCCGCCGAAGATGGGTCACACTTCAGCACAGCGATGAGAACTTTCACATATCGACTGAAACCACTACATTCTTGAGCACTTAATGACTGATTTTTATTACCGTACGTAAAAAATAAATTACGAGATCAAGGATTTTCGACATCGGAAAAGGCGGTTGGTACGTTCAGAAAGCATATATTACAGATACCTCGATCAGAGTGGAAAAATGGTTCGAAATCTTTTAATGAATAATATTTTTAAAAGCAGTAGATTATCTATGATTAGTATTTGTTTTTGTTCATTAATCACCAATTATAGTGTTATAGTCCCGAGGTAGCCTAACAACATTTGCCTGGATGAATCCTTTTATAAGTTGCAAAACTTGTCCATATATAGAAAAGAAAGTTGTTGTTAGTTACATTTTATACCATTTATAACTCAAGAAGAGCTGAACCGATTTTTCTGAAAAAATTACAATTTCAAAATTCATGTTTGTAGGAATAATTTGAATATATCCGTACAATTCAGATTCTTCCTCAAAAATAAAACAATTGCTAAGTATTTGGAATAGTAGAAAAGAAGTGCAACCAAATGTGCAGTGAATAATCTACTGGCTCAGTAATCAGTCATTGAGTATGTATTATACCACGTGCATCACAAAAATACTGATGTCATGTCCTTTCCAGACACATTTTTCGCCTTTCCACGCCTGAGAACTGGTTCATCATGTGTAGTCCAATAGAATAACTGTCGATTGGACTACAGTGGTAAATGATAGAGCTATGTTTTTATCACCGACAAAAAAATTCGGCTTTATTCCGATGAGAGAGCACTCAAATACTTCTTAGAATCAGTTAATCGTTGTTTTTGTTGGATTATGAACTTGCGAGTCACACAATTTGTTTAGAGTTTTCGCCTCTTTAGAGCATAATTTTCCTCTGCTGATTTCGCCAGTTTCCCACTTAGCAAATATCTTTTTAACGTTGGATTTCCCTGAGCCCAAATTCAACAGTATTTTCCCCCAAAAAGTAATCCTTTATTAACACACGCAATGCTTTATGATCCATTTTTTTGTAAACTAACACAAGTTGCTTCACAGAAATGCTATATCTCATTAACTAATAGTTATAATATAACTAATAGAAATCATATAGGTTGTGGTAGTAGTATTATTTATGTATGTATCAGCCACAGTGAAGCGTGGACGGGTCCTCTAGTTGCTCTATAAAAAAAATAACATTATATTGCAGATTTTACGGTTACCCTCAAGTTCTTTCGTAATATATTTAGAGACACCTACATATAACACCTGCCACCTGCCCCTGTAAATATCAAGATAAATTTGTAAGTGACAACTGATTCTTTGTGTCAAAGACGTTCGATTTTGACAAATGTTGTACAAACAAATTTGCAACCTTGTGGTTTTCAACAACAACAATAAATCCCACTTTATTTTACAGTCTTCAGAGGGGGCATGACTGGTCAACACAATATAGGAATAAGTAGCACAAAACGAATATGCGTCTTTTTAGACACACTCATATAAAAATAAGTAATGAATTGAGAATTTGTTTAGTATTTGTGACATTGTTGCAAGAACACACGGCACTGCCACAACTGAAGCACGCACGCTGCAGCATTGCAACAAATATTTCCTATGTCCGCATTGAAATCTGTCAACGGCTTCCAGTAGCCACCGTCAGTGTGAAGGCGAATGTGTACGTGCGGATCGGCGATCGACAGTCGGCAGTCGATAACCCCCGCTGTGGCGTGCCGAACTCGGAACCTGCAAAAGCAGGTTACCTACCAATTGGCCGTAGCAACAGTGGCGGTGGTGGTGGTGGTGATTTATGACACTTGTCCAAATTGGCATTGCCAATGTTGTTGTCATTGTTGTATGCCCCTGCTGTTTACTTTCCACCGATGGGTCGATCTGTTGTCCCGTTGGGTATATTTGCAAATTAACAAATCTTTGTGTGAAAAACCAATGACAAAAGATGGAACTGTTCACAGCACACATACATACCTTCAAATAATACACATGCATACATCACATGCATGTGCATGTGTGGTAGCTGCTACCGTCGATTTATGGCTGCCACAAACGGAACGAAGTTCAAATATTCTCAAAGAGCTGAAGCGGACACCCGCAGCGCGAGAAGTGTCACATTTGTACGGGCGGCTGTTCTCGCTTTGATGCCAATATCAAAATTGGCAACAACAAAAAATAAGATTTGAGAGATTACAGCAAATCTACATAATGACGTATATTCCCATTTTTGTGCTGTACAGCCTCGCTACGCTTATCTGCGAAATAGTTTCTTATCGAAAATATATGGCACTGCAAAAATAAATATCTGTCTCTTATACACATCTAGATGTGTATAAGAGACAGAGTTTCTTATCGAAAATATATGGCACTGCAAAAATAAATATGGAAAATATCAAAGCTTTCATTGGTTGATTGTCTTATATAGCATATGTTTACTACCCTTCTACCATGGAAGAAAATCGCATGATCCCCCGACAGTCGATTCTATGTCATAAATTTATGTCTGACGAAAAATAGTCATCTCATCATTTTTCCTAAATACATAGTTTCGACTGATAAGTACAACAACTCCAAAATCATTTCAACGAAATCCCAATTGGGCAAAAATTGTTAAGTTTCTATCTTTCTAAATCATGTGTTTGGAGACCAGCTCTATAATATTTTTAAACATAAAGTTTACGGCAGAGATGACTTAGGTATGACCAAAACTGTATACCCCTCGAAAAATTTAAAATCTATAAATCTCACGAGTTCAATCCAATTTTGCGGCATAGCCAACCATATCTTGGCAATAATCCGCCGGAAATTGGTCACTCGGAACTGGATACACAATTCTATAAAATGTAGATTAATTGAGTCATAGCACTTAAATTGCGTAATGACTATTCCTGTTTCGAACACTAAAAGTCGTTCCTATATAATGTGAAGGAATATCCTTTCGCACTTCATATTGATATTGACTTTGGGTATTTACCAATAATACTTCCGAGTTGTAATTTTAAATTGGAAGAATACCTGGATAGTCTGCATTGTATTTTCAGGATTTTTCATACCACAAATACTGAATGTTTGCCCCACAGAAAATAAGTTGAACTAAATCGGACCAGAGTTGTTAAAAAACTATAAATTTTCCAGTGTTGCCAATCAAACGACCTTTTTTTTATCAATCTGCTCAAAAGACATGCCCAAATTCCATACACATTCAGAAGTCTTGACTTTCGTGCAGGGTTAATTCGAATATGCACATGTGTAGTTGCAAAGTATGACTACTCCATCTACTCTAAATCTTGCTCCACGTTTATTGCATAAATAAACTTGATTACGGAATAAGCACAATTGCCGCCACCCACTCGACTGCGTTCAACAAAGTTCAAGCAGCTGGGTGTGGATTCCATGCCACAAGTTGGCAGTATCTTGCAACACTCAACCGATAGTAGCAGATTTCACGACTTTCCTGTGTTTTTCTTATGGAGAACACAGTTAAGTTAATATACCAGTGCAGTTAGAAGGGTAATGATAAGTAAGACGCGTAGAAATGTAGTTGGTGCAACTGCTAATGTAGTTCAAAAGGTGGGCGTTGCTCTGTATCGGCCTCTCAGCGTTGTTGTATGGTTTTACTCAAAGATTTATATACATATACCAAACATATGTATATATATGCATATTTATTTATTTTTTATGAGTATATTTGTGTCACCATGATCCTTGCAACAATTTGAAACACTTAGTCATTTGGAAATAAATAAATTTAATACCAAAAATATATTTATCTCATCACTGTTCAATTTCAATAATTTATCAAAAAAAATTTCCGAAGGGGAGTTATTAAACTTTATTAAACTATCCCTAATAGTTGCTAAGATTGACGCCTGCCAGATTAGAAATGTACTTATGGTACATTGATACACCTTACCTCAAATCTGAAAATTTTCAATAGCGCAATTGCGTAACATTTATATTATGTAACGAGATCGGACCGAACTCTATGAAAATAAATGGTTCTAATCAGAAATTCATTCTGCTTTCCTCAGTCCTACTGGGAAAATCCCAAGGCCTAATATTATCTCTGCCAAACCGTATCTTTTAATGTGTGATATCGACTTCCTGCAAAGATTCTCCGTGCTCCATTGTTTTCAAAACAAACAACTGATTAGGGTTTTTTTAGTTTCCCACGGCTAATTCTCTACATGAATATACAAGTAGTTCTAACAAGTCACGTTGGCCGAATTCAATTCAAGAAACGATGTAATGAAATTAGAAATGACAACTTTCGGTGCTTTATTGACGAAATCAAATCGGCAATACCAAAATATATGGTGCACAATTATAATCTTCAATTGAAAAAATCTCTTCCGAAGAGATTTTCTCATAAAAATCATATTCAAATGCTCCCACAACACGTTGCACACATAAATACTACTTACTCCATATGGAACTTTGTGAACCAAAAAAATAGACTTACCTCGCAATAATTTAGAAACCAATTTAGCTCCAAAACTTACACCATCATTCACGGATAGGGATTAACTTTTAAAATTTTGCCACTTTATGCTACCCTCGATGGAATAATATATGGAGGCCCATAAAAAAGCATAGGTTGGAACTATGTACTACACTACAATATTTCTCGGAGCCAAAAACACAGAATTCACTGCATAAGAAACGACATGGAAATAACACTTCGTATAATAAATAGGCTTAGATCATTTCCTAGCCCACATACATATAGACAACATTTGGCTTTATACAGAACAAAAGGATTTTTAAGATGGATACGATTTTGAAAGCGGTACAACTTTTTATTATAAAAAAGAAATTTATGTAAATCTATGAGACCTTTGTAAATCCTAGCTTTAGCCGGACGATATTACTAAATGTACTGTAGATAAATCTAGACTTTGTACTTAAACCAAGAAATTTGAAGAAATTGAAATTTTTCCTGTGTCACTCCCAAAATAAGTATTCTTTTGAATACATATATTGTTAGTAATACTCATTAGTATACCAATATTATCTTTTTTTATAATACATACATTTAGCCACATTGAATTAAAGCTTAATACCGTTAAACGTCTCCAAAAAAATGATGCCAATGCAACTCAAACAAAAACGTCAATAGACTAAAACCCATGCCAACCCCATATGCCAACCAAACCCATTCGAACTCTTTTAGTGTGAGTACCTCATGCTTTTTCACAATGCTAAGATCCTTCAGAGTGAAACGTCCTAATCGGACCATAAGAAAAAAAGTGATATCATACCAATGGCTTAGTAAACCGGATTCACGTGAACGCAAATAGAAATCACTCAAAAGATCTTTGTAAATGCAATTCTCGCTAATGGGCAGGCTGAGTAGTGAGCCCTTTGTGTAATAAAGACTTTTCGACAGGCGAAATAATGGATGTGTGAAATACCGTTGGCGATGCTCAATAATTGGCCAAGCTAGGGACTCCATTACATAACCATAACGTGTATCCATTTTACGCATGTTCGCCTGATATTCATCGATCGTTTTGACGATGTGAAAAGCGTCACTATTTTCTTTCCAAAAATCCTCGCCACGATAAAATTTAACATCCGATATCGCCGGTTCGGCAAGTTGTATTTTCACATTACGTTTCGCGGCTTCACGAAAACTTTCAATCGGCTCTTCCTGTGGTGGCACCGTTAGCCATTTAACCAGATTTGTCGAGAAGAAATTGCCCAACGTGCCACCAAGTAAAAAAATTAATATAAATAAAATGCGTCGACTTAAACATTTAGCGCGTATAGCGGTAGATTGACAGAGCAGACCACGCAACAAGTTCAGTTCCCAGGGAATTATAAGCAGTAATATTGCGGTGCGATTCCAATGTATGCCTCTGCACACCAGTTCCATTTGCACGGCATTAACAAAGCACAACAACCAAATGACGAAGAAAAGTCCTGCTAAAACAGCGGGACGGAAGAATAATATGAAGAACTGATACGTTTCTAATGGCGGCTCTACCGGCATCATGGTAAGCCATTGAAAGAATTCAATCGGATAAACGTAACCATGCACATTCATTTCCTTTTGTGGTGTCAACAAACTGGCGCCCACATCGATAGAACCATTCCGTGCCGCTTGCCGGATCTCTTCGGTGTAAACAGCATGTTCGGTAGTAGAATTGTAGTTATCAGGCAACCATAGCTGGAAATTATATCTCTCGGCAAACTGTGCTATGAAATGGCCAATATAACCGGCTATATAAAGTGTACCACTTTTGCTCACGTGAAACATTGTATTCGGCTCAACTTGATCCGCCAAGATGTTCAACTTTGTCTCCGCAACGTCGGCCAGTCGATTCGGGTAGATGCGTGTGCTGTTGCGCATATCACGTGTTTCCAATGCGAATTCGGGAAACTGATTGTACGAATGATAGATGTGTGTATTGGCGAAGTCCCGATGTACAAGTATTATATTAACAAATTTCACTTGTTGACAGTATTGGAAAAATGTTTCGATTTCCGATAAAGCGTTAGTGGTGAAATTCCTATTGTATATAGCCAAAATGCGTCTTTTGCGTAAGTGTTGTAAATCTTCAGCGAATTTCAACAAGTAGTCCTTATCGGTGAGATGCTGCATGCAAATTATCGGCAATATCATGTTATTACCAGTACCTCGCACATAGCCCGAGTAGCTCTGGTTCCATTGTAGGGAGGGCAGTTCAAAATTCAACGGTAACTCTTGATCCACACAATGTAGTGGTTGATTTCGAAATAGGAAATAACCATAAAACCGTTCCTCCATTTGCAGTATTTGTAGTAAATCTCTGAAGCC